CTAGGATTGGACGGACTGGCAGGCCTTCCTTATGGATCTTAGGTAGACCATATAACTGTACTGGCCCGACGAGAATTTATCGAAAGCTACGTATGCTCGCCACCTCGTCTTCTGATTATATTAATCTGTTACAAACATTTGGGACAATTGGAAGTGCGCAGGCAAGTTGTTTGGTTAAAAATCCTATCAAGTGCGCTTTATTTGCCCAACCCGGGCACGCCTCAGTTTCACGCAGATAAGTCAGATTTTACGTTCATATATTAGATAGCTCGAACGTACGAGTGTTAATGCGTATGGCAGACACCGCGGCCATCCACTTTACGGTGACTGATTCCTGAGCATGAAGGAGCTACTTCAGTAACCGTATACCCCCGAGATCAGTAAAGATGCACGCTGAAGCTGAGGTGAAACCGTGCCTGCGAATTTATCCATGACTGTGAATTCATATTCTTTGGATGAAATCTGGTCTCTAAAACGGGTTAGGTGGTGTTTGCACTGGATCAGCACAGGCCAAATTAGGCCATGGCGCCTGTAATAAAGTCTTTGCATGGGAGTATGGTGGCACGCCTGGAAGCCGGTTCACACCGCATCGGGCTTGCATGGCGGATTAGAGAGACTGGAATGGCCATTTCTGGCTTATTAACCGTCGTCAGCCAGTCATACCCAACCCCGAAGTGTGGAACACCCGAGGCTCGAACTCGTGACCTGTTAGTTAGAAGTCCACGCCTCTAGCCACTGGACCACGAGCCCGTTGTCCTGTCGGTATTCGATCGGGAATATACAATGGTCCTCGCAGCCTGGCGTGCACTGGCAGCTCTCTAGCAACTGATTACCTGCCAGTAGATGCGCTTGCGTTCCCGCTGGATATACAGGCTGAGTGCATGGCTGCCCAGTCATCCTCCTCCTTCTTCTAACCCATAATTGTTTTGTTGTTGGTTCAAGTCCTGGTCAGGTGTTTGTTGGTGACTAGGGGGTGTGGTGGTACACCTAGGTGTCGGTCCGACCGTGCCAGTCATCTGCGCTCTCTCCCGCCTTCGATCTTCTAGACTGTGTCTTGACACCGGGCCCAGGTGGAGAAAGTAGAAACGGTGCGGTAGAGACTGCACAAGCCACGAACAGGTCACCGTGCCTGCCCCCACCTTGCTGTGGAGCACACCGTGGACATCACCGGCAACGGCGTTCGGACTGTCGTGTACGTGTTCCCTATCAACAGACGGTCAGGGCTCTCCTCAATAACATAAGTATGCAATAACTTCAATCAGTACCAATCAACCGCTTCCCGCTTACCCTTCTTGTGAATTCTGCATCGCTTGCTGGTAATCCCTGCTCCACACCGTAGCACCAAAATCACCTATCGAGCCAGTTACGGTACCGCAGCCCGCTGACTTCCAACCTCGGCATCGGTGCGACCTCAACCCCCAGGATCGGACCTAACATGTAGCAGACCACATCCGACGACCTAGCTCTGCGAACCCTGTACGTAGAACGCGGGCTAGAAGGCGCTGAAGGGGCTGTGATATTAGCGGACGACCCAACTTGACAGGAATGCCTGTCAAGATCGGTCGACAACGCGGGGTTGACCAATTCAATAGACGGGGTAGACAGAGGTAGTTGGAGAAGCTTTGCTGAGGCTAGATAGCGTATATACGCACCTTGCAGACATTGATAGCAAACTTTGTTTTCAGCCGGGTGCCAGTCGTTTTAAGTTGTTAGCCCCGACACGCAGCGCCTATGTGTAGCTAATCAGCGAAGGGTTCATCGTCGATTGGCGTCGAACTCTAGCCATGTGAGCGGATTACCGTAAGCCGAATGTAACTTGCAGGTTCCCCTAAGGCGGGCTCTCTTAGACAGAAAATAATGAGCCAGGGCATGGTAACATGAGCGTCTCGTATTCATTTGTACAGTACTGTCGCACCGAAGTAACTGATTTCAGTCAGTTACAGCAAAGCTAGTTAAATACTTCTTCAGAAAAGTATTCGATAGAAATTCCGCGGTTAAACAATAGAGCTGAAGAGAACACTGTGTGTACGGTCTTGCAAGCTGCTTTAAACTGATTGAGTGTTTTCAAAGTAATTAGTTTGTATGGGCTTGTGGTGAGGTACCGGAATAATTTCCCTTTGACAAATTAGTCCCATGTTCTTTGACCGGATTGCTTGTTTGAATGTGACGAAAAACGACACACCTGTACAACCTGCCTTGCTAACGTGCTTCGCCGTCGAATTCTGTTGTCAGATTTCTTAACGTTCAACACCTCTATATTATTCACTGCTCAGTTTTACTTGCTGCCTTTAAGACTAGGGGCTCGTGAGGGATAACTCGCGAGTTCGTGAGGACATTACAATTTACGTCAGGCTCAGTGTACTCATGTGAAATACAACGCATCTTGCCCATCTACCAAATCACCTGTCCCCGGAACAATCAACGACCCCTCTGTCACCACCAC